TGGTGGTGATGGTAATGGTGGTGGTGGTGATGGTGATGATGGCGGTAATGATGGTGGTGATGGTAATGGTGGTGGTGGTGATACCGGTGGTAGTAATGGTGATGGTGGTGATGATGATGATAGTGATGATGGTACTGATAGTGATGGTGATGATTGTGGTGGTGATGGCAGTGATGGTAATAGTGAAGGGGGACAGCATGGTTGTGGTGATGGTGGCAAGGACGGTGGAAGTGACAGTAATGCTGATGGTGATGATGGTGACGACAGAGGTCATGGAGATCTCTCATGTACTTCTCCTGACCCCAATTGTAATCACAACTTTGCATGCTGAGGACTGACTTTTTACCCAGTGGTGATGAGAATTAAGAAGGGTCCTGTGAAGTCCCCACAGGAACACAGTAGTGGCCTAAGAAGACCCATCCCATGGAACCATTTATTCCTAAGCAGACCAACTGCATATTATGCATTGGAATCCTGCCTGCAAATCAAATTTTGCTGCAGATGCTTCTCTCATCCCTTCCATTACTGCCTCCTAAATCACTTATGGAACTTCTACTATGGGCCAAGTGCCTTAAGAACTTTGTGGCTAATATGGCTATTCTCTTATTGAAAGCTACAACCATCTTATGATGTAGGTCTTTATTTTATTTTATTTTATTTTACTTTATTTTATTTTATTTTATGAGATGGAGTCTCTCTCTGTCACCCAGTGGTGTGATCTCAGCTCACTACAACCTCTGCCTCCTGGGTTCAAGCAATTCTCCTGCCTCAGCCTCCTCACCATACCCGGCTAATTTTTGTATTTTTAGTAGAGATGGGGTTTCACCACGTTGGCCAGGCTGGTCTGGAACTCCTGACCTCAGGTGATCCACCCACCTTGGCCTCCCAAAGTGCTGGGATTACAGGTGTGAGCCACCGTGCCCGGCCATGATGTAGGTCTTATAATTTTATGTCTCCTCAGTCTTCAGATGAGGAAATTGAGGTTCCAAACAATTATATCATTTGCTCAAGATTGTGCTGCTAGGAAAATACAAATCTAAGACTTGGATGACGTCAACTTGAGTCCAAAGCCCATGCGCAACCACCTCACCAAGGTCATAAACTCCAAGGTCTCCCAGGATCTAGACATGCAACATAAATACATAAGGCCATTGGTGGGAAGTAATAAGGACTCTGCGGAACTGGACACCAAAGGCTATCTAGAGACACCCACACCCACGTTTTCCTTAAATACAGAACCAGGAGGCCAATCACTTGCAATCTCTACTTCACTGAAATCAAATTCTGTCGTGGGAAACTTGTGTCCCGTTGGTAGAGTTATACTTGATTACTTTCTGGATACCTTTCCTCTTTCAACCTTTGTCTTCTTTTTAGAGTCGTGTTGCTCCACCCTTCAAAAAGTCTACTCTAAAATATAACTGGAAAATTCTCAATGAAAAGAACCCCTGTCCAGATAAGGGTGTTTCTTTGCTGAGGCCTCATTTGAAACAAGTTTACCTAAAGTGAGTATTTTGAAAGGAATAAGGTGGTAAGATTTTTCACAACAGCCGAGGCCTCTAGGGATGCTGATTTGGAGAGGACTTTTGACCATCACCAATTATAAGAAAAGAATTTCACATCAGAGAGAAAGAGAGGCAGACACACAGAACTGAGCCAAGGATCACACACAAAGAAACTCACTATTTGCAGCGACTGAAATTATCTAATTAGAGTTGTTTTCATTTCTGCTTGTTGCCTTGGTGGTTGTTACCCACTAAAGTGGTGCCATGGTGGCGCATGCTAAGGACTGACCTTTTACCCAGTGGTAATCAGAATTAACAAGGGTCCTGCGAAGTCCCCACAGCAACACAGTAGTGGCCCAAGAAGACCCATCCACTGAAAGCGACCAGCCTCCTCAAGTGGGTCATAACCAGCTGGTTGAAAAAGTTGACCTGTAGATCTCTGCTTTGGTCATGAATAAAGCACAAAACCCTTCCACCATGATAATGACGATGACTGTGAGACTGGCATTTAAACACATGTGCTGATGTGTATATTATGGGTGCGAGGTGTATGAAAAAGCTGCTAATTCATCCTACGGACTTAGGAAACTGGCTCATCTTTTTAGATCTTGTTTTCCTTGTTTTTCATAACATGTTCATTATAAGCTATGTTCATCTTAGATTATTCTCGAATCTTGATCATTTTAGTTCACCTTAAGCCCCTTTACGCACCATTGCCCCCTTCCTTGTGCGTGATAAGGCATCCCAGCAGGTTTCAGACTATCGCATAACAACACACACACTCCTTGCCCAAGCAGAAGTGGAAAAAATGAATGTGAGGTAGAAGCCGTCATAGCAGCTCTCAAGAAATAAAGTAACCGGAGAAGTAATGAGGCCTCCTTGAAAATGTTTCCAGAACGAGAATATTTTTCTTAGATTCAGGATCACAAGTAAAACATTTCCTATTTTCTATAGGAAGATACTACTTACCCTAAAGATGAAAAGTCCTTGCCTCTCACTGAGCCTGGTAGCTTCTCAGAACTGACAGAAGAGGACTGTTGCTTTTTATCTAGAGCTCCGGTTTCCTAAGGAGTCTTGTGGGTGGACACGGGAGGCTGTGTTGTTGTTTGGGGAGTTTGCATAATGCAGGGTCTATTAGTTCTCCTTCCATTGCCGTACCGTAACTTAAGTGGTACATTATCATGGTGGACCATATCAAAGTGCCTCAGAAAATGAACAGGGAAATGGTGATGGTGGTCAGTGGGAAATGGAGAGTGATAATGGAGAGTGAGGCCAACTCCCAAGGATATGGGTTCAACTTCAAAGAGGTCCTTTTCATTTAATTTGCACCACTGGAGTTGAAGGCCAGAGTGTGGAAAGGAGTCAGCATATCTTTGTAGAGCTTAATTTCCTGTTCCAGTTGACCAACTTGGGAAAATGACTCATCCATATTCTTGGTCTTTGGGATGGTACCATTTAACAGAATTACACTGATAGACTTGGCTGATAAGATTGTCAACTGGTTTCATTAGGGTGGTATTCTGAAATTGTTGTCTCATTTGTATTAGAAGAATCTTTGTAAGATCCAGCATGAATATGGCAAATAATGCCCTAATTTGGCAAGTCCAAATACATAAGAAGCAATTTATTCCTTGTCTTGATTTTATTACGTGTATGAAACGTGGTCTTATTATCCCAAACGTTAACACCTTCATCTTTCTGTTTTCCATTTAATTTTATAAATTCATAAGAGTAAATGCAATAAATTATGCAAATAATCACATAGATACGGCTGTATAGCTGGGCTGGTAATCACCTCCTCCATGTACTAATCAAAATGTTTGCCGTATCATCTTTTTTTTGAGATGCAGTTTCACTCTTGTCACCCAGGTTGGAGTGCAATGGCACAATCTTGGCTCATTGCAACCTCTGCCTCCTGGGTTCAAGCGATTCTCCTGCCTCAGCCTCCCCAGTAGCTGGGATTACAGGCACACACCACTACACCCAGCTAATTTTTGTGTTTTTAGTAGAGACGGGATTTCCTCCATGTTGGCGAGGCTGGTCTCGAACTCCTATCACTGGGTGATCTGCCCGCTTCGGCCTCCCAAAGTGCTGGGATTACAGGCGTGAGCCACCATGCTCAGCCTGCTGCATCGTCTTTCAAATGACAAATGAAAGACGGATTCAGCCTGCCATTGTCAGCTGTACTGAAGAGAAAATTGTCTGAATGTAAAATGGAAATGCCTAAACCCAAAGGAAGTCCCTGAAATTCTGAGTATTCTGTGTGCTCATGGCCCAATTCTGCACGCGACAGATTGCACCCTGGGATGGAAGAATTCTCCATCTTTAAGTGTAGTCTCTGGTTCTTATCTTGGCCATGTGACTGGCTTTGACCAATGAAACAACAGCTAACAGAATGCAAAAAAAAAAAAAAAAAAAATGCTAGCCTGCTGGAGTGTAAGAAGCCATGTGGAAGAAACCAAGGCTTGATAGCCAATCATTCATCACTTCGGTTGCCAATCTGCCAATCACCACGCGTGTGGGTAAGACCATGTCAGATCATCCATTCAACCAGCATACCCTCCAACTGACCATAAACACATATGAATGGAACCAACAAGCCAGCCCAGATCTGAAGAAATGTCCACAGAATCGTGAACTAAGTGAAATAGTTGTTATTTTAAGCAAAAAAGAAAACAGAAGAAAGAAAAAAAATTCAATGAGGAGAGGATGGTTTGTTATACACCCAAGGACAACTGAGACACTTCCCAAGGTATGCTGGAATAAGTTATTTGCACTCATGTTGTCAGACATGGTATTATTTAACTTTGCCTCCCAACCGCAGCTGATTGGAACATGGATTGGTCCATATGGCAAACAACAACTTATGAGATGGCCAAGAAGATAAGTGTACCTTCAAATAGTTCTGTCTATTGAATATTGACTGACGAATCCATTCAGCCTGTGTCTCTCTTGAGGAATCTGAATAAGTCCCAGAAAGGGATGCAGACAGCAGCATGACTCATGAGCCGCAGTGAACAAATTAAGAAATAACAAAAGCAGAAGCCATCAGATAGGAGAATGATGACCTTCCTCTCTAATCTCTACGTCGGGTATCTCACCTTGCCTCGGTAGAGCAGTACAGTACACTGCCACCATCACAGAAACCAGCCCATCTCAAAACCCAAGGGAGCAAATGTTCGGTCTAGGAACATTTGATATGGCCTGGTCATTTCCCAAACTTCAACAAGCATTTAACAATTGACTTTGGGCAATTGTGAAAAACAACCTGTTCTCCATCCTTCTGCAACTGGCCTGTGCATTGAGAGACTTCCCTGTATGTTTCTGGATCTGAAGGCACTTGCGTGCTCTGCTGTGAAGCTCGATTTGACCAGTGTTAGCCCCGGAAGAAGAAAAGAGAGCTGGTGCAGCAAGAGATGTGGGTGTTTGCTTCCCAGCCTCCTTCTCCCCTGCAGCATTGCACATTTGGACAGTGGTTGGGTTTTTCTGCTGCAGGCAAACCCTTTCCAGGTTCTTATAAATGCTGCCTCCCTTCATGCCTTCAAGTCAACGAGTGGTAAGAGATCACCCCACATTGCCAGTCCCAGGGTGCCTCCACCATTCCTCTGTTCTGATTGGTTCCTGTAGCCCTACCCCAAACCTAAATAAACAGTCCTTTCATGAAACCGCCCTCATTTAACCTCATTGAGAGGGGGCAGCTGTTTCTTCCCATGTCACCGAATACATACACACTTTTGGTCCCTGATTTTCTGGCTTATTTCTAGCTTTCTTATCAACTGTCATAGAAGAGGAAACCCTTACTTCAAGAAAAGAAGAAAACACCATTCTTCGACCAACATGTGGAAGTGAATCACAAAACACAAATATCACTTCCTCCTTTGGCAATCATTTAAAAAGAATTGTTTCTCAGCCAACTTCCCATGCCTTGAAATAGTGGTGTTCAGTATGTGAATTGGCTGGAAATAAGGTGTCGGTGGTCCACTTGGAAAGAATGGGATATAGGAATCAGAGCTTAGAACCTGGGCTTTATCAGAATGGCAGCCCAGACTTGATGCCTAAAAGGTTGTGTTCAGTGGCTCGTACATATGATCTTTCTTACCGGTTCACTGGGCACCAACAGAATATGCCCTTTAGATATATTGTCATCTTTGTTTCTAACAAACTTCTTATGTAAGTGTGCTTGGTGCCGTAGATGGTATTAAAACATGGCCCCACACTTTCTCTGACATTCTTTTCTGGAGAGCTGAAGTCTATGTCTCATCTTCTTTGTATCTGGGCTTTGTAACTTTCTAACTAGTAGAACTGACATAGAAAATAACTCTATGTAGCCGGGCACGGTGGCTCACGCCTGTAATCCCAGCACTTTGGGAGGCCGAGGCAGGCGGATCATGAGGTCAGGAGATCGAGACCATCCTGGCTAACACAGTGAAAACCCCATCTCTACTAAAAATACAAAAAAATTAGCTGCGTGTGGTGACGACAACTGCAGTACCGCTACTCGGGAGGCTGAGGCAGGAGAATGGCGTGAACCCAGGAGGTGGAGCTTGTAGTGAGCCGAGATTGCGCCACTGCACTCCAACCTGGGTGACAGAGCAAGGCTCTGTCTCACAAAAAAAAAAAAAAAAGAAAAGAAAAAAAGAAAGAGAAGAGAACTCTATACATCTTACAGGAACCAGATCTTATCTAAAGACACTGGTAGCTTCCTTTCTTTCTTTTTTTTTTTTTTCTTTTTTTTTGAGATGGCACTCTGCTCTGTTGCCCAGCGCTGGAGTGCAGTTGGCACAATCTTGGCTCACTGCAACCTCTGCCTCCCGGGTTCAAGCGATTCTCCTGCCTCAGCCTTCTGAGCAGCTGGGACTACAGGTGCTTACCACCACCCCCAGCTAATTTTTGTATTTTTAGTGGAGACGGGGTTTCACCATGTTGGTCAGTCTGGTCTCGAACTCCTGACCTCAGAAGATCCACCCGCCTCAGCCTCCCAAAGTGCTGGGATTATGGGCGTGAGCCAACGCACCCAGCCCATGACGTTATTTATGAAATAAGAGTGCACATGTACCCTAGAACTTAAAGAAAAAAAAAAGAAAAACAAGAGTGGTCACTTCAGGAGACAGAATGTCAGAATAATGTTCTGTTGCTGTGCAGTAGACTGACACATGGTCTTTCTCAGATGTATTCATTCAACAAACATTATAAACCCAATCAGTGACCCCAGTCTCCTGCTGGGTAATACACTTACAGAGATAAATCAGACAAGGAACTCATCTGATTATGATCCAACATGCTGAGTATTACAAATAAAAGATCGATAATAACTTTGGACACAATGAAACAGAAATGTTAAGTCAGGAAGTAACCGGATGACTTTGAACTGATGATGGAAAGCTCTTCTATGAGCAAAAATTAAATAAACTTCAAATAAGGCGGGCACGGGGGCTCACACTTGTAGTCCCAGCACTTTGGGACGCTGAGGCAGGTAGATCACTTGAGGTCAGGAGATTGAGACCAGTCTGGCCAACGTGGTGAAACCCCATCTACTAAAAAAACAAAAATCAGCCGTGCATCATGGTGGACACCTGTAATCCCAGCTGCTTAGGAGGCTGAGGCAGGAGAATGGCTTCAACCCACAAGACAGAGGCTGCAGTGAGTGGAGATCATGCCGCTGCACTCCAGCCTGGGTGACAGAGTGTGACTTGGTCTCAAAAAGAAAAAAAGAAACCCTGCCTCTCAAGTAGCTGGGATCACAGGTGTCCACCACTATATCTGGCTACTTTTTGGGGGAGGCGGGTAGAAACAGAGTCTTGCTATGTTCCCGGGACTGGTTGTGAACTCCTGGGCTCAAGAAATCTTCCCTCCTTGGACTCCCAAAGTGCTGGGATTATAGGTGTGAGCCACTGTGCCTGAGCAAATTACTATATTTCTAATGATGTATTTTTTACAGTTTGGGAAAGTTTGGGCAGCTTCTGTGTAGTCATAAATGTTTTTGTTGTTCTTTTCTTTTCTTTCTTTTTCTTTTTTCCTTTTTTTTCCTGTTGCCAGGCTGG